CGGCCATCCAGCCAGTGTTTCACCCAGCAAATTAAATAAATAATTTACTGCAGACTGCTCCATGTGGCGCCTCAGTTGGATGTGTCTGCAGTCTGGGAAGCTTGACTACCCTATGTTCTCCTACGAATAGACCTTGAGCTTGTTTGGAGGTTCTAGCAGGGGACCGCAGCTACCGTGTACCCTTGACTGATGAACGGTACACGCCTCTGTCAGGGTACACGGCTCTATTGGGGAAGGTCGTCCTCTTTGACCGAGCGTGCAGCTTCGGGTGGGACGCACATGGAGCAGCAAGGGACACCCACCTAGGCAGCCAGATCAGCCAAATCAACACTGGCGATCAATGTCACAGCCAGATCGCCCTCACATCCACGTTTCTAAATTGCATCAAAATTATTCTACCTGTTGTAGCAATCAGCGAGTCAGATTGAAGCAAAACGACCTGAGGAAAGGCATGGATTTTAGTAATGGCTGTTCCACTGCTGCTCTGATTTGTTTCTTCCTGTATTGAGATGACTCAAGACATATATTTAAATAAAAGCAGTGTCATTTACAGCTTGTTGCTTAGGGTTGGAATATACGATCCCAGCCCTCAGGAATATTTTGTCTTAATTTTCTTTTCTTTTTTTTTTTTTTTTAAGAGACTGACAGGAACTTAATTTTTTTTTTTTTTTTTTTTTTTTTTTAAGAGACTGACAGGAATCATCCCAGCTTGAATTTCATATTGGATGCTAAATACATAGAAGCCGTGCAGCTGGGTGTGAGCCCAGCCCAGCACCTCTCCCTGAGACATCAACCAGTAAGTTTCCCTTGTGCTTTTGCTGGACAGCGATTGCACTTTGAGCTTGTCTGAGGAAACGCAGCGGTTCTGCCTGTGCCCCTGCCTGTGAGCCAGCTGCAGCATCCCCAGCAGCCCAGCATCTCCTCCTGTGGTGGTACCTGAAGAGACATCAGATACAGTGGGACTCAACTGCGGTTTCTGGAACGTGGAAGAGCAGTGCACAGCTAGGGCCATCCTGGGGGGTTTCAGCAAGGGTCAGACACTGTGGGGATGAGCTGAGAGTGGGGATGAAGTGAGGAGGAGCAGACTGGTCAGGGTTAGCCCTGAGGCCACTCACCTTCCTGGGGGAGAGGAGGACTGGGCTGTCTCAGCCTGCCTTTTGCTGCCCAGACCTGGCCCCAGCTGCGTGGCCATGGGAAGGCATCTCCTGTGCTGGCTGAGAGGGGGGAGAGGTGAAGCAGGGATGCTCATAGAGGTCAGGATGCCTCAACTGTGGGGAATGGAGCTGGGATTTCAAAAGTAGCTGCAGGCAAAGGGGAAAAACGCTGGCTTTTGGAACAATAAACCTTTGCTCATGGGAAGTTTCAAAAGGGCTTCCTTATAGCTGTCCTTCAAAAAATACATGTCATAATCTGATTCTGGGTTGAAAAATTGCACATGGAATCCTTCCAGGGTAGGAAAACAGTGGGTTTAGGTCATTTGAGCTTTCAGAGGTTAAAATATGCTGCTGGTATGATGTGTCAGAGGCAGAGATGCTTGGAGACCCCTCCCTGGCAGGACCAGGTGGGATGGGCTCTGGGGTTGGTGTCTCCTGTGGCCATCAGGTGGGTGGCCTGAGAGCCTGGGTGTGCATCATAACCTGGGAAAACCGTCTCAGTGTAGTCCACTGCCAGCTTTATTACTGCATCATTTAGGGGAAGTATCTATCACAAGGAGCACCTGTGGCTGGGCTTGAGATGCAGTTGTCTGGAAAAATCTATGTTAAAGTGGAGAGTGGCAGCTCCCTGCAGCTGGGACGGGAGGGAGGATACAGCCAGAGGGATGCTGCTGTGTGACCCTGATGCTTTTCACCTGCATGAGCTCTTCCCTGGCCTGTGCTTGCCCCAGTCCTGAGGACTCTGGAGCCACATGAGTCCTTGGCTCGTGAGCAGCTGTAAGGACATACACAATGTGCAGGACAGGAGACCCCCACTGCTGACCCAGCAGGAAAACTATCTGCTGGCCTTCCCACCCATGCTGAGGACAGGAGGTGTCTGGGACACCTTCTCCTTGCACTCACTGCAGGTGGTAACAGCCTTGTGCTGGTGCCCGTGGGGCTGGTCATGCACCTGAGAACCCACTGCCTGTGCTCAGCAGGATGCTGGATTTCCAGCCCCACGTCAGACTTACGGCTCTGGGCAGCGGCTGAGCCATGCCAACATCCCTGGGGAGACCCACCCTGCTCCTGGCACAGCTCGGGGCTCAGCACCCACAGGCATCGCTTGGGGCTGAGCACACAGAGGCATCGCTCAGGGCTCAGCACCCACAGCATCGCTCAGGGCTCAGCACACAGCGGTGCTGCTCAGGTCTTAGCAGCCACAGGCATCACTTGAGCCTCAGCAGGGCATTTCTCGGGGCTCAGCAGGCTCGGGGACATTATTCAGGGCTCAGCCCTCTCTCGTTTTGCCCCTGTTTCAGCACACAGGGGCATTGCTGAGGGCAGTTCCCGCCGGCTGGGCTCGGGGCCAGCCCCCACCGCCTGTGTTTGCTCTCAGAGGTGGTTTTGGCTTTCAGGCTGCGCCAGGTGTTCGGCCTTGGGTACATCGCTTTGTCTGGTTTTCCTCTCCCACTCTTGGCTGTTTTTGATCTCCTCTGAGAGAAGATACCCTCCCAGACCTGCTCCCCCTGAAGCTGTTGTTCTACTTTAACCCTTGCTCAGGCAGAGGCCATGGCTCCTCACCCACCACACAGCCATGTCCTGTGCTGAGCGCAGCCAGGAGTCACCAGCCTGCAGAGCAAAACCACCGAGTAATATAGAAATATTCACTGTTTCTAATGAATGTGCCTATACAGTGCCTTCACAAGCCGTGCTGGGTCCTGTCCCTGCTGTATGCTGGTTCCTCTCAGAGCGTTCATTAGCAAAGTCTTAACCAGCATTAGCAGCAGCAAACAAAAAGCACCTTTGTGATGTCCCATGAGTGAGCAGAGCGGAGAGTCAACAAGCCCTCAGAGCATTTTTGCAGCCCGTTTGAATCCTCCCCGTACACCAGTCCTGGTGCAGAGGCAGCCATGGTGTTTGCCCTGCTCAGTGCCCTTTGGGAATCGCTCAGCACGCTGCAGGATCCAGCCCCGTCCAGCTGTTGTGCCAAGAAAAATCTTGAATTTGTGGTCCATTGCAGGAAAGAAATGTCTGTCTTGCAGTACAAGCCCTCGTCTTCTCCCTGCCATGTCCTTCCCGGGTCGCATCCAGGCAGGGCTCAGCACTGTGCAGGGAAGGACCTGTAGCTTCTCCCTGCCTGCTCAAGGCAGGAACAGCTGATGGGATTTACTGCCTGTGGATGCGAAGCCACAGCCTTCGCCGAAGACCTGGGAAGAGACAGTGTCCATGAGGCCTGGGATATCCTCACAGCTCCCCATCCCACTCCTGGGCTGTCCCAGGGCTCAACACCCCTCACCACCCCCTGGGGCTGGCAGGATGCTTACGGTGGAGGCGGCAGGCAGTGGGGACCAGGCTCAGTAGGAGGACCAGGATGCTGGCAGCCAGAGGGACCCAGACCACGGGGCTGCAGGCACCTGGAAAACAGGAGGCCACACGGTGTGGAGCTGCTCCCTTAGCTCAGCGCCCAGCATGATCATGCCCCGGCAGCTTTGGGGGATGGAGCATGGAGTGGGAAAGAGAGAAAAGTGAGGCAGGTCCTCAGAAGAGGGAGGGAGGACATGACCATCGCCCTGGGGTATCCCTTGGAGGATGCATTACACCTGAAGGCACTGCCGGGCACTTGGCTATGAGCCACGATAACCTGAAATACATCCTGACCCCTAACTCCTTGTATACCCCAGGGAATCACTCCTCGAGCAGAGGTCAGCTCTATCTAGAGCGGTAGGTCTAGGTGGACCTGGATGTCCACCCCTGCAGGGTCACGTTGTGGTTGTCCCCACCCCAGGACAAAACTCCAGCTGAACCCTGTGGACCCCCCAGGAGCTCAGCAAACCCCTTTTGCAAGGCAGCCGGAGCCAACTCGGTGCCCTACCTTTCTTGCTGGCAGCTTTGCTTTTGGTTACACACCGTGTGGGTTTTTTGGGGGGCGCTGCCTGAGTGGTCTTCAAACTCAGAGGCAAAACATCAACTGGTGGATAAAGAGAAGAGGATGGTCAGTTCGGCACCAAGTGCAGTGAAGATCTCAAACATCAGCCAGGAAGGGCTGCAAATTTTGTCTTTTACAACTAGACCCATCTGGTGACCCCAGCAAAGTGCTGGGAAGACCAGGAACTTGACCTGAACATGTCAGTGGCCACAGAAGGTACCAAGAGCTTGTAAAAACATTAATAAAACAATGTAACAGGCAAAACAAGGGCAGAAGGTTAAGGAAGGGAAAAAAGGAAACTTCCTTGAGCTACATTTACTGCCAGGCACCATCTCCTCAGCACTGTAGGTAATTACAGCGAGCAGGAGATTTCAGTAGCACAGGGAGGTTTTTAGGGATTCCTGAATCTTCTCAGGTTGCTCTAATCTTTGCTCAAAATTGGATTTTTAAATTTTTTATTTTTGTGATAAAATGAGGGCAGGATTTATTATGGTGTATCTGAACGATAGTGGAGCACATTCATATCTCTGTAAAGTTCGTCAGGAAAATACTCTGTAATGTCACTAAACAGCTGCACATTTGACTGATCAAACTTCATTTATTAAAAATTTGGGGTGATTTGAAACTTTTCTTAATGCTTCTATCCAAGATTGAAATTCCTATGGAAACCACCGTTCTTTTACATGGAAAGGTGAGACATTGGGGGCCTGGGATTTATCTGGACAACTTCCCTCCTCCATTACAATAGACATTTGAAACCTGCAGTCAGACCCCCCTCCCCGCCCCCTGAGATGCGAAGGGTGATGTCCTCTGGACTGGATGCTGCTTCTACCTCTTGGAGGAAGGGCAGGGAAAAAACAGGGCATGGAAAGCCCCATGAGCTGAGCAGGGCACACATCCAGCCTCTCATCCAAGGTATGAGAGGAGGGTGAGAAGAGCACAGGGCAAGGCAATATCAGGACTTGAGGGTCTTCTCATGGAAATCCTAAAACATTAGGACCAACGAGGTGCTCAAGGCACGATCACAGCAGAACAACTGCTGGTGGCCAAAGGACTATTGCATGCAGCTGACCAAAAATTTAATTATTTCCTGACTTATCCAGTCTCATAGGTCTCTTCAGAAAAATCCCAGAGCCCCAACACTGCATTTCAAAATTGGGAAAGGTTTAACAAGACACCATCACCCCTTTCCCAGGGAACCTCCTCACAGCCTGCCAGTGGCACGTTTTGGAACCCCAGGGGTGACACTTACCCACACCGAGCTGTGTGCCGCTGCCCAGGAGGAGCTGAGAGGACTGGGAGACGGAGCAGTAATAGGTGCCATTGTCTGAGGCATGGAGGTGGCTGATGTGCAGGCTGTAGGAGGTGTGGGAACTCATCCCATGGACACTAAATTTGTCCTGACTGATGTTTGCACCATATGTAGCTTTGCCCAACGAGCTGGAAAATATCAAGAACTCAAAATTTTGCCTCTCCTGGCTCCAGCGGTACCAGTACATCCCGGTGTGCTCCATCTTCAGATCACAGAGGATTTCTGTTTTATTGTTAGCTTGGGCTAAAATATGCCGTGGAGTCTGGTGTAAAAGAAGATTTGTACAGAAACCTAAGAAAAAAGAGTCAGGAATACATAGTAATTATTTTCTTGTCATTACTTTTCCTCATGCCAAGTACAGATTTTCTTTGTGGGCTTAATAAGATCAAGTAGTTGTACTCCCTTAGAGGCCTCCTGGGGTTCCTCAGCTATTTTTCGGCCACGTCTAGTTATTAAGGTAGAGTTTGCCCTGTAAACACTCATTTAGGGAGGAAAATCTGTGGCAGGGAGAGGGATGATTTTGAGCGTGTCTTCAGAGACGTACGTGCAGGGCAGGGCATCTCCATCCGCTCGCATGGATGCCCCTCTCCTGCCCTCCTTTTCTCTCTCATTTTTCAGAGAGGCTTCACATCAATTTCTGCAGATTTTTTTTCTGAGCCTCTTATTTGCCACATTTTTTGTTCTAACAGATGCAACACTGATGAACTTCCTCTCAGGTGCAGAAAAAAGACCCCCAAAAGTATAAAACATCTCAAAATGAGCCAATTTCATATTAATTTTCGGACAACATTATTTTTATATGAGTTTCAAGATCTGGGAAAGGAGAGGGAGGGAGGCATAGCAGCAGGGCTGAAAGCTTCAATCTGGTATCGCATCGCTGTGTTTGGGCTTTGCAGCTTTTGTGGAAATTATCTGAGTTGTGTTTGGCAGATGTGAGCGGTGTCTGCGAGCAAGCGAGGATGTCCTTGTGAGAAGGATAACAGGTGGCTTGTGATCCTGTCTGTTTGGCAAACAGTCCTACAGAGCTGCAAGATACTTTGAGAACAAGTGAAAAACAGCCCTCTGAAGATAAGGATGCTCATGCTCTCCCTGTCTGTTTCCCAGGCATGTTTTAAAGCTGTGCAAAAAGCTCAAGAGAACATAATTTTTGGCTTTTTTAGCATCAAAATGTCCCTATTCCTTCAAAATCCCAAAGGTGCTTACAGCTGTTGCAAAAAGCCTCGTGCAGCCCTGCAAGCCCAGTGGTGTGGGAATGGGTTTTCATGATGACAAGAATACCCGAAGCCATCCCCATGGCCCAAGCCTCTGATGTCCCGTATGTCCCCAACGGAGGCAGGCAGAGGAGAGAGTTCTGGTGACTGACATGAGTCCAGAGCTTTCCTCCATTCCCACATGGATGACCCGATCAGGGCTGGTGCCCTGCAGAGCTGAGCAGGCTTCAGCCCCGGTATTGCAATGCCAAAATCCAAGCGTTGCACAGCAGCCACAGCATTTCACTAAACCCTCTGTCTCTGAAACAAAATAAACATATCTTTCTTACTAAAATACATAATTTCCAGGCTTTGGAGTGCAATCTTTGTCAGCTTCACTCTAGCAAATGCCTGCGTGTGTTTGCAGGGGTTGAAATACGTGTGGTCCTGAGCCATGGTGGCTCTAGGATCCTCTTGGCTGCCCTGGGGTGTGGCTCTGCTGGGCATGGGCGACTTAATCCCTCACGAAAACCTCCTCCTTGAGCTGTTGGGGCAATTATTAGATGAATCAGAAGGGGCGAGAAGGGATTCTGGAAAACTCTCAGCTAAGATCTGAACCGGTGGTCAAGCTCCAGAGCAGAAAAGCTCATCCCCTGCCACACCCTCACCCCCCAAAACCTCCCTGTTCCCTTTCCTGGGGTATATTCTTGCAAAGGAACACAGGGAATCAGGGTGGGATGGGTTTGTTTGCACATGCTTGGCCAGACCATCCTGCAGCAGCTCGAAAATGGCTCCTTTTCCCTCGGCACACACTGAGCAAATGAGTTTATTGGGTTTTTCTCAGCGGGGACCCCACCATATAGACCTATAGGATATTACTACCCATATAGGCATCAATAAAGCACTTAGGGCTGTTTACTGACAGCTTGGCCATGCTATGCCACGGCTGGGCGACCATCACACGACATGAACACCCCACCCTGCAATCCTGACAGCCTCTAGCCTCTGGGCAGCTGCAGACCCTGGTTGGGCAATGTCCTGGGGGACCAACTTAAGCCACAACCGTAATATATACATTTAATGAGTGTTTCAAGCTCTCAGCATTTTGCACCTAAGAACCGATGGCACAATTCGTCCTGTGAAGTGGAATTCTACCACTTTGCCGTGGCATCGACCGTACGTATTCAGTCAAGACCTCCTGCAACCTATCTGCAATAAGCAGAAGGCAGCACGGTTTTATCACACACCGAATCCAGCTGTAGCCTTTGAGAAACATTCAGGCCCTGAATAGATTTAGAAGAAAATTTGATGGGATTTTTATCGCCTTAGCGTTACACAGGCAGCACAGATAGGTGCTACTTTAACTTCTTCAGCAGCAGCTTCCCACAGACTGTCTGCAGTTCAAGGGTGTAGTAGAAACAAACTCTGTGGTGTCTATACCATTATATATTGCACTATAGAATGAATAGAATAGAATAGAATAGAATAGAATAGAATAGAATAGAACAGAACAGAATAGATTTCAGTTAGAAGGGATCTACAATGCCCAACCGTTTCAGGGCTGATTGAAAGCTAAAGCATGTTACTAATGGCATTGTCCAAATTTATGTGGTCACAGGTAATAATACCCCGTAGCTCTATGCTATGCCCATATATATAAACTTCCATCACCCATATGCTCCACAATGCATCCCACGATGATGGATGAGAGGCTCCAGCATGATTTTAGGTGCCCTCGGGCCTTAAGAGATGTGTCCCTCTTACCTGGGATCTGGAGACAGATGCAGAGATGGAGCCACAGCCGGGCCATGGCAGCGGAGTCAGCGATGGAGGGGTTTTGTGCCAGCTCTCCTTTTCCACGCACAGTCACCTCTTGGTGGTAGGGCTGGCTTCAGCCCAGGAGGTTTTTCTCTGTCTCGGTGCAGATGTCTCGCCAACGGCTGCCAAAGTGCATCTGCCGCGGCAGCGCCCGGAGCCTCAGCCCAGCAACTTCTTCTGTGCTGAGCCCCCAAACCAGGTGTGCATCAGGGCAGCAGCCCCACACACTTCTCCAGGACTACACAGGATCTCCGTTAGAAAGGAAAAAAATGAAAACTCATTTATTTTTCACTGTGATTTCTTCATATTTCATCACCTAGCTTTTCCTCCTTCTTATAACCTAGCTCCTTGCAATTAAAAAATTACAAACGTTGAGCATTAAAAATAAAAGATGGATTAATTTTGGCTAGCTTCTCCTCTGTTGAAATCAAAATGCTTTCAAAATAAGGAGAAGATGCAATTTGATGTGTGGGGTTGTTAAATCTTTAGCAGGAGGGGTTTTTTTCTCCAGGTCTGGAAAATGCTGAATGCCAAGCTAACTTGCCATGAAGCAGAGGCGTGAAGTATCACAGAAAACTTTGAAGACAAGAGTAAGAAACCTCAAACAAATTTAGTGGCTGAAAAGCCACAAAAATGAGGAAATTCTGCTGGGGCTCCCCACCTTGCTGCTTTGGTAGCTGTGACACTGCGCAGCTCATATGCAGACATTTTTAAATGACAGATAAAATATCAGACTGGCTTTGAAATGTCTTCAGGAGGGAGAGATTTGAAGCACTTGAGGTTTAGGATTTGGATAGTGAAATACATGAACTTAGAGGGATGAATTGGTGTCAGCAGCCTTCAATATTTCCATGTTTGGGGAAAAGAAATATTTATTGATTTTCTTTATTTACTGCCCCCTTGGTTGCCAAGCGAGGTTCAGTTTTCTTTTATACCCGACTTGTGCAGACACTCGTGGTCCTCACAAAGCCTCAGCATGTCCCCAGGGCTGGGTCCCTGGTGAGGGGGAATTTCCTGGGGAGGGTCTCATATGGGGGCACCAAGGAACGTCCCCCGGGGTTTGAGTTGGCAGACGATTAGGAAAAACGATTTTGCGTCTCGTGCAGTACAGTTTTTTGGTCCATTTTATACCAGATTTTTCCATGCTGCTGTAACATCTCCTCCCCATTTCTGTTCAGAATAATTTCCTGCTTGAAGCGGGTTGCTAACCACCAAGAGCCTCACCACAAAGGGCTGGGCTGCTAAAATTTAGGGTCCTCTGAATTTGTCCTTAACTCTTTCCTGCTGGGAGAAAGTAATTTTAGTGTCTTCAGCTGCATTTCAGTGCTTAAAAGGGCTCATTTTTGGAGCCTAGACCCTGGCATGAGGTGCAGCAACCCTTGCTACTCCTCTCCTTACCTCCTGCTTGCCCTTTCTCTTCCAAACTGGAACTTCTCCAGAACTGGGTGCAGGCATCTCTTTTTGGGGGGGAGTTTTGCTTAATATGAGAAATGCCACTGCAAGTGAATTTTCCATTTATCCCCATGGCGAAGTCAGTGAGATGAGCCCAATGTCCCTGGCTGCTGCAATGGCTGTGTCCCCCTTTTCTCACTGCTGCTGTCACCTGGAGCATCTTCTGGCCTCCTGGCTAAGAACGAAGTGGTCCCAGATGTGGCTTTTGTCACCATTACAACTTGGACACAGGGCATGCTACACTGGGCTGCTGCAAGACACTGCTTTGTCTAAGCAGATGTATTGGATCACTAAGCAGATATTTTGGCCATTATAACAGCTTTGGAGATGCTTCCCTGCAGCACTTTTGCCTATAGGCTGTCTCCCATAGAGAGAAAAAGGAATATTTGCAATGTAAAAGCAAAATATGTCTTCTGGAACAGGGATTAATTCTTAAATTTTTTTTAAGCTGCTGTTTGTAGGCAGTTGAGCTATTTACCAGTGGCTAATCTGTTCTGAGGACTAGCTGTTGCTCCTGTGAGAAAACAATTTGGCAGTGGGATGCCTTTGTCTGGCAGCCCATCGCCTACAAAAATAAAAGCGCTGTGGGAACACGCAGGAGAACACCTGCTGTTTATAAGATCCCTACATTGTTTGGGGCTGCAATCCTGAGAAGAACATAGGGGAGGAAAAAAGGGTGTAAGCTGAACTGATCTGTTAACACAAACATGATTTGTTTGTGACCTTGCTGGGGTACAGCGGCTCCTCATCCCGAGTGTTTGGCTCGCAGCTGGGCCAAGACGGGGAGGAAAGCTGAATTTTCGGGTATTCACATTATTCGGCTGCCCGATTTCTAGGGCGCATTTATTCTTTTTCTGAAATGAAAGACAACTGTCCCAGTCTCTGGCCCAGCCAACTCCCTGCCCCATCTCGGTGGCTGCCCTGTGGGTCTCCTCCTCGCCCATCCCAGGGCAAAGAATCCCTCTCCATTTTCTCAGCCTGCATCCTGCTCGCCTCACCACTCCAACACTAATTCCCCATGCTTTCGCTGCCTTTGCTACATTTTTGACTCTGTTTTTTCTCCCTCTGATGAGTTTCTTACAGCAAAGTATTTGCTCTTGTGTGCACGTGTGTAGCAAAGCATTGGGGGAGAAGAAAGAGGTCTGCAGACAAGAAGCAGGCACCTGGCTGGGGTTTCATCTCTGCTGAACTCCCACCTTGTAGCAGAGGTAATTGAAGCTGGGCTGTAAACGCCAGGCTGGTGGAACAATAGACATTAAAAAAAGGGGAAAATCTACTTCAGGGGCTAGGAGGGCTGACTTTTGGGATTGGGGAAGGCTGCTAAGCCTCAAGCCTGGTCCACCACAGCCAGTAATGCATTACCTCAAAATAAGGGCCTGTTAGGTATAATGAGCTGCTGGATGGAAACTCTCCAGGGCTCAAGCAGCCACAAGTGAACCTCTTTTCACTTTTTTAACTTCTAAAAGTTATTCTATTCCAGGGAAGAGTGTAGCTTCTGAAGTATTTTATTAGGGGGAAAAGCAGCGATGAAAATTATAGCATTTTCACTGAGTGAGGTGAGTCACAACTATTTCCTCAATCTAATAGCAGGAAAAAAAAATCAAGTGGGTCAAGTTTTCTTTTCTAAACTGCTCAGAGCTAAGATGCGGTTTGTAGGGTGAGGTTTTGGGGGGTGTCAGTCTGCCTTTGCAGGTGCAGATTTACAGCTGTTCTTCAGCTGATGCAGTATCACAGTCAAGGCTACTGACCCACCTTGGGATACCCCTAAGGTACACGCTAGCATGTGGTGGGCTGAATTGTGGCACGGAAAAATGCTGCTTCTGAAATCCAGAAGCCAAAATGGATCTTAATGATGAATTGTGTGAATTTTCCTGCCGTCTCATCTCCCCCTCAGCAAGGAGTTGGTGTTTGGAGCTGGACTTTGAGGGGACCACCGGTGTTACAGGTGTCAGCTGTGTGCTCCATGTGTAATGTCCCCCCAAAACCCAGGTGCTAAGGGTGTGTGCAGCGAGGAGGCCATTGGGGCCTTTTGAAGGATGGCTGCTGAGGGGACAGGCTCCAGCTCTCCCTCTTCAGGGCACTTGGTGCAAGCAGCAGTTAGCATGAGCTAGCAGTGATTAATCCTAGACCCCCCCAAAATAGATAAGGGGCAGTGCAGCTGTTCCTGTGTGTCTTCAGCCTCCCTAATCAGTCCCAAAGAGGATTAGGAAAAACAAGGAAAATGTCCTTGGGAAGACAGAGGGAGGAATGCAGCACCTGCAGGAGAAAGCGCCAACAAGGAGGTAAACAGAAACGTTATCAACTCCAAACAATGTCCTGCCATGGCTATAAAAAGCCACTGGATTGAGACCCTGCAACCATACCAGCCTGAAAGCTGCCGAATTCGCCGGAACTCTGCAGAGATCATTTCCTCGCCCCAGGAACTGCCAGGACCTCCAGCCAAGGATTGGTGAGATCTTATTACCGGGGTCCTACCTCACCTCTGCTTCGCTTTACCCATTCCCGCATCCCTTCCCCTTCCCCGTCCCCTCCGCGGAAGCCAGCGGGTCACAGGCATTGCCTGTGGTCACCCGTCCCCTTCTTCCCCTTCTCTTGCTACCAATTTCGGCATCTTCCCGGGAGGGCTTTTCAGAGGGGTGGGTTGTGGGATCACAGCCTCGCTGTGCGGGTGGGTCGGTAGTGCTGTGTTATGGTAGCTTTGCCCTGAGTCAGAGCTGTCTGAGTTTCTGTTCTCCCTCACTATGATGAGCGACATCGTTAGCAACTGGAAGCTGGAGCAGTTTGTGCTCCAGAAATGTCTCCCCCCAATTTGGTCCCCCGGGGCTTTCCAAGGCCCCGAGGCGTACCAGCAGCTGTGCCAGCAGTGGGAGAGCTGGTCAGAGGAGACCAAAAAGCCCAAACCCACAAGCAAGTGCAAGAAGCGAGCAGCTTTGCAGGGTTTGTTGATGGTGGGCAGAGAGTTGTCCAAATTGCTGAAGGAGGCTCTTGAGAACGTGCAGAAGTTGGAGCAGGATAAGGGCGAGCTCAAAATGCAGGTGGACAACCTGCGGGCAGAGGTGCAGGGTTTGTGCGGGGATTCTCTGCGGAGCGCGGTGGAGATCACCCGGCTGGAGAGCAAGCTGGGCTACGAGAAGCTGAAAACCGAGGAGCTGGAGAAGGAGGTTGGCAAGTGGATCGGGGAGACCCACGATGCGCAGAGCGCGGTGCGGGCGGTCCTGCAGGACGTCCAGCGAGACCGGGGCACCGGCCCCGATCACAAGGTATGCCACGCCAAGATCCAGGAGTTGCAGGCGGAGCTGGGGGGGTCGAGGGGAATCGTGGCCGCCATCCAGGGCAAGAGGAGCCGGTTTGGGAATAGTGAGGGGGAGGACTCCCTGGACCCACACCCGCCTCACTATGACTACGAAGATGACGTGTGGGGTGCTAACGGCCCCACCAGGCCATCCCCCTACGCTCCTCTGCGGGAGGAGATGTCCCAGCTGCAAGGAGGGGAGGTGGAGGCTTCCAAAATCAAAAAGAGCCCCTCCGATGAGCCAGCCA